TGTGTTTTTTACACACATCCCCACCTTCCTCCCCAACTCCAAGCGGCATTGGGTATCGGGGGGGATATAAAAGAGATCAATTAATTTTTAATAATCTCAGGGAAAGATTGTAGAGTTGAGGTATGAACTCAGGGAGTGTCAATAAATGTGCCAAAGGTTGGCCTGGTATCTGGGCTTTCTAGCACCCCCCTTCTTCACATGCTGCTCAGAGGGAGGTAGATGGCAGTGGGGGCAGGGAGTGGGGAGACAGACTGCTACTTCCATCACCACGCCTGGGCTTGGCTCCCTGCTCCTTTGCCATTTATCACACTGCGCAATGGCACATTTATCATCTCATTCAACACATGCTCCCTACCCCAGCTGCTCCCGGGACAAACCTCTGTGCCCCCAGGATGTGATGGGAGAAAGCAAACTGCCAGGAGAGCTGGTCTCACTGCCTTTTCTCATTTAACGCAGCAAGGGGGGTCAATTTGAAGGGGGAAATACAAACACAAACTCCACCCACAATCCCAAACTCAGCCCAGTCTCAGAGCAGTTGAACATTTCTGCTACAATGATCAGAGTCATAAAAAATGTCACTGCTGCTGTAGTCTTCATTATCGTTACCTGTATAAATATTCCACAAGACAAGCATTATTCCACAACCATCATTAGGGTTCAGAGTTAACAAAATTGAGATGACTGAGAGATGCTTACACCCCACTTCTGATCCGATCTTTGGAGGTGCTGAGCATCCTCAGCTCCCCTGGGACTGTTCTGCTACAGCAGAGGAGGGGTACCAGACGAGACAGGCAACTGCTCTTTCCTGTGCAGCCAGGGGCAAGAGAGTGGAGGAGATGGACCATTGGTCTGCTGTGGACAACTCTGACCTTCTGATGCCCAAATACCCCACCTTGCACAGGGCAAGCCCTGCATTACAATCCTCTCTGCCCCAGCCTGTAGGTCTGCTCGGCGCGCCCAGCACAGCCTGGTAAAAGCGGCTGCTCAGAGCAGGGCAGCTCGAGGGGCCATCAGGGGTCACACCCGCTTCTTGCACCAACCCCGGGCCAAGACAGGGATATGCATTTCTGGAGACCTAAACCCAGGCAGCCCTTTGGAGCAGCTCAGCTTTGAGCCCGAAGCACAAGCCCCTTCCCCGTGCATGTGTGTGTGCGTATGGGCTAGTCCATCCCCCCTCCTCCGCCCCCCATGTGTGGGAGGAGTGGAAGGGCCCTCTTTGTGTATGCGGGGGAGAAAGAGAGAGAACAGGGCCTGTGGCTGGTCTGTGGGGCAGAGGGTCCTGGAGAGCCACAAACAAATGCTCGGGATGATGAATTCCCAAGAGGCCTGAGACTGTCCGGGCATCTGCTCTGGACAGAAACAAATTTTCCCTGTCGAATGTAATGCCCCAGAAATAAGCAATGAAGAGGGGTCTGGAGCCAGGGGGTCTGGAGCATCTCTCCCCTGGCTGCACCCAGCCCGAGCACAGCGCCTGCGTGAGCAGCCTCACCCCCTTCCCGCTGCTTGGACTCCTCACTGCCAGGATCCGCACCCACGGGCTGCTTGATGGAGCAGACGAGCACTTGAGACGTGATGCTGGGCAGGTGTGTCTAAATTCAGCTCCCTCCTGTCTAGCTGGATGGGTGTGGGACGGGAGGGCTGGGCGGGAAGGAAGGCCAGGCAAAGTGGAAGATAAAAACCCCACCCCCGGCCTGACCCCTTTCCTCAGGCCAGCTGGGGGACTGCGTGGGCTCAGTGGGATGCTCTGCTCAGCCCCTCTCTGCCTGCGGGTCCCCTGGGGTGCGAGGCTGAGATGACTGAAGCCTGCCCAGGTTCACAGGAGAGACCAGGGGTGGGGTGAGGTAAGGTAATCTCTTTTATTGGACCAATTTCTGTTGGGGAGAGAGACAAGCTTGCAAGCTACACAGAGCTCTTCTTCCGGTCTCTCTTGTCACCAACCAAGGCTGGTCCAGGAAAAGATATCACCTCACCCAGCTTGTCTCTCTAATATCCTGGGCCCAACACAGCTCCAACAACCCTGCAAATAACTGGTTGACACTGGACAGTCCTGTGACCCCCGGCAGGGTTCCCAGCTCCGGGAAGTGCTGGCAAAGCTCCTGGAGGAAGGGGTGTTCCTAGCACAGTGACATGACAGCTGGCCGCAGCACCAGCCGCTCGCAGGGAGCAGAGCTGAGACACCACGCAGGGAAGAGGGAGCTCAGCTGGGAGAAGACCCCCTTAAGGCGTCAAAGCTCTTGGGGAGCAGGGAAGAAAGCCCTCACACCTTGGCTTCCTGATGGGAGAGCACCAGTTCTCAGCAGCCTTTCAGGGCCAGGCTCTCAGCAATGCTGCACCCGGGCCTGCCTCAGAAGGAACTAGCTGAACCTGGCGAGCAAGGCCACCATGGTAGGCAGCTGACCCCACTCATCACGAGTGGAAAGGGAGAATAAAGATGACCGCTCTGACTCCCAGGGTGGAAAGGGAGCCAGGTTCCGGAGGATGGTTTCCTGAGCAGGGCCCAGAGAAGGAGTGAGGCCTGGCTCTGGGGAGGAGACATTAACAGCTCAGCACGATGCTCTCCCCTACTCTAGGGCCTTCCCTGTGCAGAGCTCCAAGAGCTCTAGGGAATCGGATGATCACAGTATTATCATCCCCATTTCACAGAGGGGGAAACTGAGGCACAGAGGGATGACAGGATTTGCTCAAGGTCATACAGGGAGTCAGTGGCAGAGACAGGAATAGCCCTAGTAGACCTGACTCTGGCTCCCCTGCTCTCATCTCTAGAGACCCCTGCCTCCCAGCATGGGGTTCTCTCTACTGCATTACCCCAGCTTTTATTAGTGCGAGTTGTTGGCCAAGTTGTCCCTGACAGCATCCAGAGCCAACCCACCCAGAGCCAACCCACTGTGTACCCAAAGCCTACTTAGTCGAAGGGTCAGCACAGCTTTCATTCCTGTTCATTGCTCAGTGGCTACTTGAGGATGGAGAGAATTTGTCTAGTGATTAGCACACAGCATTGGCTGCAAAGAGCTCGGGACTCATGTGAGCAGGTCACAGCCCTGCTCTGTGCCTCAGTTTCCCCATCTGTAAAATAGAGATAACGGTATCTGACCCATCAGAGGCTGTGTGACTGGCTAAATGGGGCATGATAGGGACCCTCGCCACTGCTGCACCCCTGGCTGCAGCTACGTCCCGGCAACGGCTGCTGCTAGCAAGGAGAATCTGCTCACTCCTGCCTGCAAAGGGTCAGCTGTTTCTGTGTCAGTCTGTTTAAACATCGTCTCCTCCCTCGGAGACCCCAGAGACCTTGAGCTGGTGGGTGGGATTCCAGCGTCTCTGGGATTCATCACTGCATCTCCAGAGCTTATCGAAACACAATTTGGACACGGCACCCAAAGGAGAGGAAGCCTGATGGAGTGGATTAGAGCAGGGAACTGGGAGCCAGGACTCCTACTCTCAGCTTGGGAGGGGAGTGGGCTCCAGGGGTTGGAGCGGGGGAGAGGGCTGGGAGTCAGGACTTCTGAGCTCCATCCCCAACTCAAGGAAGAGTATCAGTCTAGTGATTAGAACAGGTGGGGCTAGGAGCCATGACTCCTGGGTTCTAGTCCTGATGTGCAGCCTTGGCCACCTCACTTCACCTTTCGTGCCTCAGTTTCTCCCATCAGGAATATGGAGATAATGATACTGCCCCGCCTAGCCGATGGCCAGTTGAGGCTCCCCACTGTGAGAGCTCCACTCAGGACATGTGAGTTTAAATGGCCACAGACAACCCCGTGAGCACTGGGAAATTGTCGAGTCGTGCTGAGGACTGGCCATGTTCTTAGGGTTTCAATTGGGCCAGTATCAGGTCACGGAGCCAAGAAGAGGACAGGTGTTTTGCTGCTTGGGTTGGGAGCAGGGTCTGCCCTCCCGCAGACTGCCAAGAGCCACCCTTATCTCTCCTGCCTGATCCCTCCTGCTGCAGGCTCCTGGTTGATACCTCAGGGCGGGGGAGGCGGGGGCGGGTGGACTGCCCCAGGAATGAGAACTCTAAGGGAGCTGGAAGGGGGGGATCTGGAGGAAACCTTCGTGCTAACTGGAGGGAACAGAAGCGACGAGAAAGGTGGCGTTCCATGGGGAGCGGGCAGGGGTAGGCCAAGGGACTCATCTTTAGTGCTCCAAGGGGAAAGTGCAGAGAAGGGAAATAAAACGAGGAAGCCAGCATTCTGGGCACAAAGGGTGGGTCATGGCTCTGGTGCTAACTCGGGTCACAGGAGAGCTGGGCTCTGTTCCTGGTGCTGCTACAGATGCCACGCATGACCTGGGGCAAACCAAGTCACCTCTCTCGCTGTGCTCCACCCATGAAATGGGGCTGTCTTCCTGCCTGGTCTCAAGGTGGGGGCTGGGGCGGAGGGGGGGTGTCCACGCTCTGTTCCTTGATGGCGGAGGAGTGCTTAGATGCTGCAAGAATTCCCAGGATTCAAGAGGATTTGGATACTATCAAATGAAGAGAAGTGCTGTGATGAATCCATCTGTGTGTCCTTGCACTTGGTAACAGAGAACACTATTCAGATGCATTTTTAGTTTGGTCTCTTTCCATTTCCCTTCTCTACCAGTCAACTAAGACAATGTTTAAACTAATAACAAACTCCTGCCCAGCCATTTTGTAGGGTTCTTTGACTCCAGACATATTAGGATTTTGATCGTGCTTTAACTATGGTTCCCTTTATAAGTAGTTTACAAAGGGTTAATAAAGGATATTACAGGCATGTTACAGATGGGAGTAGCATGTGTTCTACATGGCTATAAGCATATGGAGGTGCCATAGTGAGTGATAAGCTATGATTATAATAAACCTGTGACCTCTTGGACTCTCTAACGATAGATTAACCATTAATTAAAACATCTATTAATCATTATTAACCTCCTGTAAGCTATTTATTAACGGAAGTACGACCAGGAAGTGTCTCTTTCTTTCTTACTTTTTTCAAGTTTGTCTAAATAACAACAACAAGAAGAAGAATAAAATAATGAAAACTTACAGAGGGGCAGAGTTAAAACCATACGGTGGGTGGTGGTCGCAGACGCTTGTGGCCCTCTTTGGTTGTCGCTTCTATCTGGCAATCAATTGACAAGAAATTGAGATTATGAAATATTGCAACTGTGACTGGAGCAGGAGGGTTTAGTTCCCAAATTCAAGGAGAAATTGCCACTTCCATGTTGGAATAATTAACAATCCACATCAGCTATTTTGAAAAGGAGTGAAAGGGTTCCCTAGCTATTAACTGTGCTTACCAGGGAGCCAGTGACACCTGCACATATGGGACTTCTGGGAAACTACACATGAAGGGGGAGTTTCCCCAATGCACAAATCCCATTGACCTTCACAGGGGCCCACAGCATTTGTGCCTGTGAAAATCTCTGTGCAAATCCTTCCACGATTAAAGAGATGTCCCAGCGACAGGCACTTTAGTAATGTCATCAGAGAGCTGGGTCGGCGGAGAGATGGGTGGTGAGAGACAGGTAGACACAGATCTAATGAAACTCGGAGGAGAGCAGAAGCGTGGGGTTAGGCCGGTGTTTCTCTCCCTGTTGGGCTAAGGGACCGCAGACCCCATGGCGTCAGACCCTCAGAACCCTCATCTCCATCCATTTCTGTGTGTGCTGGGCCCTGCTTAGTGTGTGGCATGGAACTGGAAGCATGACCATGCGTGGCAGCAGGAGTGCAGCATGTGTGTGACCCTGTGTGTCAAGCCTCTTGCATAACAGCCTCGGGGGGCTCACTTCCTGAGCCCTTGAGCCGTTGAAGCCTCAGAAACCACGAAGTCCCAGTTGGGTTAGGAACTGCCATGGGGTCTGTGCTTCCTGCAGGTGCCCTGGGCCCATGAATCACACCTTGTCAGGGATCTGGGCCTGGGGCTTTGCAACTGCCAGCTGGAACGAAGAGGAACAGAGCTGTGTGTAGCCGCCGGCGGCAGCTGCCTGCGCCCATTGCTGCTCTGGGTCTCCGCCGAGGCGGGCTCTCCAGCCAGGCCAGGGAAGGGTTAAGCAGGCATTAATCACGCTCCCTGAGAAATGTTTCAAAGCCTCTTCCAAATATTATAAAAAATGTCTTTAATCATCTAATTGCGCGAACTCTACTGGTGATGGATGGGGAGATATCTCCTCTCTCCTCCTGATCTGAACAGAAGAGGCTGAAGAGCCCCTGCTCGGAGGGGGGTGGGGGGGGAGAAAAGGACGTTTCTCAACCTCCCACCAGAGCAGTTATAAATATGAGGTCATACAGCGAGAGATGATAACGCATTAAGGGCTCTTGAGATATTAGTCTGTCAGCCTCGTTAGACAGAGCTATTTGGGGCTGACTGCATAATTAGAGGCTGGGGTACCCATAACTCACTGGTGTTTATATGGCAGAAAGGGGCTCCGTTTACCATCACCCTTTGCACACTAAGTCATCTTGCAGCAGGCATCAAATTCCTCTCCCCTCCGCAAAAACCATCAGATTCTCTGCTCCCCAGGAACAGTCACTCCTCTGCTCCTTCCCCCTGAGAAAGACACGCTCCTCTATCAGACTTTGCCCTTCCAGTAAACCCCTGGGGCTTTGCATCTTCAATGCACTGCACAAACATTCCTTCTCACAACTCACCCATCTACAGGTGGGGAAACTGAGGCCCAAAGAGGGGCAGGTCCCATACTCACCCAGGCAGTTTGTATCAGAGCTGGGAGGAGAACCCAGGACTCCTGAGGCCAAGCCTCTGTGGCACACCCATAAGGTGACCTGTCAGGAGGACACACGGTAATGCGAGGAATCCCCAGCAGTATGTAAGCGAAATTCCCCACCTCAGCCTGGATGATATGATCCACTAGGAAAATGTACCCCCACTCCTCCCTCCCCCAGGCTTCAAACAGGTGCCTGAAGTCACCATCTCCAGAGGCCTCACAAAGCAGGCTGATTTGCCTAGCTGCCCCATGTGTGTGACCTGAAGGCAGCTTTAGACTGTGATCCACAGCGATTTCCTGGGAACGGTTTGGGAAGGGCAGTGCAGGGACTAGCTGGAGGGATAGGCACAATGATGGGCATTGTATGGGAACCGGAACAGAACAGAAGGAAAGGCAAGAGCTAGGCAAACAAGCAGGTGCTAGGCACGTATTGCCCCACCCCTCTGCTAAGGAATCTCGATCCTGACCTGCAGCATCCCCCCACTATTCTTGCTTTAGGTTTCCCTGCTCTGCTGATGGCTCTCAGTCCTTACCCAGAGCCCCCTGCTATCCCAGCCCTGAGTGCCACACACACCGCTTTGCCACTGCCTCTCAATCCCGACCTGCACCTTTCCCCCACCCTCAAGCTCGCTCATCTGCCCGGGATGCTCACTTGTGTGGACAAATCTCTCTGAGGAGCTCGGTTGAGACTAATCAAACTCACTGCAACCACAGCTCAGTTCAACCGCAGCTCTGCAGAAGTGAAAGCCTGGTGTATTCTGCACTGCACTCTGGGTCCCCCACCCAGAATAGGGATGAGCCCTAGAGGACTCTGAGTGCCCCCCAAGTCGACAGCCCAAGTGCTAAGAGGAGTTCACCGGGCAGGCCATGCGAGGGAAGGTAGCCATGGAGGAGCTGGGCTTCCACAGGTTTCTCCTCTCCACTCTCTCCAGGCAGCAGAGCTCACCGGAGGATCAGCCCAACGTCATGAGCTGCGAGCTGAAGGGACGCTTCAAAACCAGCGCAGTGAAAAATAAAACAAGTGAAACAGGGAAGAGGTGCATTTTCGTTCTGTGTCCATGCCGAGGCAGGGCACTGCGCGGCGAGGAACAGAGACTGCAAATCACACGGGCAGGGGGGGCTCGGATCAAAGCTCCATCAGAGCCTAACCCGCCCCCACCCCGGGGATAATGCTCAGACATTTACACAGCCACGCTCCCGACATGAGCTGTCCGTACAGAGAAGGAAGCTAAGGCCCAGGGAGGTGAGGAGGACTCCAGAGGCAGGGCTGGGATGAGAGCTCTCGGAACTCCCACCCGGCTCCAGGACCATCTGTCGCTTTGTAGGTACAGCTAAATAGCGCTGACATCACCCACTCGTATTGGGATCCAGGAAGTGGGCGGGTGAAGCCCGCCCACTGCGAAAGAATCCCCCCCAGCCTAGGAGGGGGGTCCACAGGACCTGGAAAACCAAATAATTACAGGGGACAACTAATGAACAACAGGGACAGGAGTGCGGTCAAAGGGTCAAACAAAGGGAACCAGATTTGACATCACCCACTGGAGGGCAGTCGGATCTGCCTGTGAACTCAACACGAAGAGGCAGTGTTCCCCTGGAACTGCTGCCCTGGAGTGGGAGATGGGTCCAGCACTTGTCACCTTTCAATCGGAACACGGCCCAGCCATTACCACCCCATCCCTGCCTGAGGCCCTGGCACTACCTGAGCGGAAATGATAAGCAAGGTGCGTAACATCACCCCCTAGTGGCTGCTCCACAGAGAGGCTACAGGACCTGCTACTATGGCCAACAGAGGGAGATCCCTGTTACCTGGAGAAGCAGCAGCCTGTGCTTCTGGAGCTGCAGGGACCCCGCTGACACTGCTCAACTTCCAGCCCTACCCATGAAGCCTCTTCATCCCCTCTCTCAGCTCTCCAAATGCCTCATGGGAGGGGGCAAGGGGTCTGGGGAGGAGGGGGTAACCCGGTGGCTTCCTGGGCTGAAGCAGGATAATGAATCCTGATGGGAGAAGTGACCTTTTCCAAATGCCACATGCCATTGGATTTTATATCACACCCGGACAATGTGCCATGGGTATTAAAATCGTTTTTCCAATAGAGGTGTGTGTGTGTGTGTGTGTGTGAGTGAGTGAGTGAGAGAGAGAGAGAGAAGAGGGAGAAATGTGGGAAAAATAAAATTAAGACATGAAAATTAGGAAGCCTCTAACGTACAGCCTTCAACGCAGACCAGGGTCCTAGCAAAGCAGAATTTACACAAACTCTTGATGCATTTTACTCTTGAGACCAAGGATGATCTTGTGGTTAGAGCACAGGGCTGGGAGTCAGGATTCGTGGGTTCTTTTCCTAGTTCTGCCTCAGACTTTAGGAAACTTGCTTTCCCCTCTCTGTGTGCCCCAAATGAGCTGGAAAGCCTTGCAAAGCGTTCCAACTCCATAATGTTTCCCTGTCCTTAAGAGATGCACATGCAGAGTGCAGAATGTAGGCCCGCATGCAGAAACACGCACTGAGTGTAAACTGTATGCGTGCATTCATAAGCACATGCATTCACGAGCATTATTGTGTGCTGCACACGCTCAGGAAAAGCAGAATCTTCCACAGTAGCAAAATCCAACATATTTTGCCTCACCTGGGTTTTAAGAAAGTAAATATACTCCTCCCCAGTATAAATATATTTATATAGACTATTTTCTGTCTATACACATACACACAGATACATGCACACATATGCAAGGACAAATTCCCATGAGAAAACACAATACGAAAGGGCGGCACTGGGAGCCAGCTTGTTCCCTCGATCTGCAAAGCAATTGTCCGGCTGAAATAACAACACTGGGACGAAAAAAAGAAGAGAAAAAGGGACAAGCTGTGTTTGTTTATTCAGCTTCTTTCTCCCCTCTCCCCTCGACAATGCCCTGACACCGTGTCCTGCCGCGCCGGGTCTGCAACCCCAACAGGCTAAATTGATCCCAGCTGGAGTGCTGTTTACAAGCCTTGTCCTGTTTACAGTGTGGTCCATCCTGCCCAGAACCAACCACAGGCGTTCTACAGGACACGCCGTCAGTTCAGCCCCCCGTTCTGGCTCTGATGTCCCAGGACGGGTGGAGGGACAGGCAGAAATGGAATGCTGATGGGCTTTCAAAGGGAGTCCGAGACACAGAGGGAAGTTGGCTGGCTATGTGAATAGCAGATGCTGTCCAAGCAATGGCAGCTAAACTGACCTGCGGAAGGGACCCAGGTGTCCTGTTCTTAAGTGAGGTTGGCGCATTCCAGCCTTAATTTTTCTGTCTTTACCTTTTTAGTTCTGTATCAAATTCTGCTCTCTGCGTGTGACACGTTGCAAGCAGACTGCCCTGGAAGGCCTCTCTGCCTGCACAACGCAGTGCTCTGCCAAATGAGCCTCC